TGAAGACAGTTGGCTGAGGGCCATCAAGCCATGGAAGCCTTTGTCATCTTACTGTGCTGGGTTCACCTGCCCTGCCCTCAGTGTTATTGGCGGAGGAAGTGCTTCCAGGGCAGAAGCTGGGCCCAGGTGGCTGCCGGGATTGCAGGGGGGAGCATGCTCTTCGTGAGGTCCTTTTAAAGTCTGCAGCCTTCTGGATGGGCAGCACACTGCTTCATAAGAGAGAGCATTTTTCCTGAGTCCTGCATTGCCAGCGTCTTCCCTTCCTTTCCTCCTCCCCTCCATCTCTCCCTTGGTCTCCCAGTCGCCCCACACAGGCAAAATGTCAGCAGAAGGAAGTAGATGGTTACATAGTTGAAATATCTATTATTTTTCCCTTGATTTGAATGAGTCATTCTTTGCTTGAAAAGACCCTCAACTTTGACCATGTTTTCTAAAGAATAGTGCTGCTTTTATTCTACATCTGTATGACGGCGTGGAATGGTGTCAGGAAGAGAGGAGCTAATTCATAGAGTGGGAAATGAGTGTCCTTCTCTGGGGTTGGGTATTGAAAGAGAAGAGCAGTGAGCCCTTAGCCTTGCAGTCTAAGCGAGAGCTGACTCGCATTCTCTCCAGAAGGCTGAATGTGGTCTTTGTGTCCTCGCTAACGTCACACGCCTGATTGTAGTAATGTGTTTCTCAAGGCACGGCCTATAAAAGCAGTTTTCTACTCCACCATTGAATATTCATAAAAATACAAGCCTTTTGTTTTGACGCACATTCTTTAAGTAGAGAAGGTTTCATTGTTTTCTGGGGGCACTCTGGGTCAGAAGCACACCAGTGGCTTCTGTTGGAAGTGATGGCCTTTCCAGGGCTTCAGATACAGAAATAGCATAAGTCACGCTTGACGCAGCTGCCGCCCTGCACAAGTGAGTGAGTAAGGGCCAGGGTTCCTGTGTCCACAGTTGGCACGGGCTGGGCTGGGCTGGGCATGGGCACAGGCCCTCGGCCCCGAGGCTGGTCCTGGGGTAGGAGGCAAGTGCCCAGGAGTCTGAAAGGGTCTCCCTGTCCATGCAGGCTCGAATCCTCCTCCTCCTCCTGCCTGTCTTGGAGGAGAGGCAGTGGCCAGTGATGGGACTAGAGACGCAGGCATGGAAGGACTTTCCTTTTACTTTAGCGTTGTTTATTTTTTGGTACTAGGGATCAAACTCTTGCCAGACAGGTGCTAGTGCCACTGAGCTATATGCCAGGCCCAAGGACTCTGCTTTTAACTCCTCCAGCAGAGCGAGGGTCTGTGTGGGCCCTCAGGAAGGCAGGTCGAGGCTCTGCTCACCTCCTTCTCTTGACACTTGTGTGAATGAGCACAGTGCTTCAGGGCGCTTATTGGTGGCCCCGGTGTGCTTCTGCTGTTGCCTTTCGTTGCACAGAGCCAGCCAAGTCCAGGCCAGGTGTAGGCACAGTGAGGGCTCTGGACCTCCCTGCATCTGAGGCAGGCTCTCAGCCTCTCCCCCATCACCTTGGCTGCCTGCAGAGAGGCGTCCATAGTACTGGGGAGGGCTCCTCTTGCTGGTCAGTGTACCAGGTGTGTGTCCATGCCTACAGTAGGTGTGACCAGCAGCTTACCCACTGGGCTCTTCTGAAGGGGACTCCTGTCTTCTGTAAAGTTGGAAGTGGCGAATGCTGCACAGATGTGGCAGTGGGTCGTTGCCTGTGCCTACATCTTGGATGTTGCCTTGTCACGTGAGATCTCAGGTCCTAATGGCATGTCTGTAAACAGGTCATATCTAACCCTCACCTTGGGCCAAATGATATGATAAACCGGGAGCAATATAGCATACGAACTGTGAGGTAGTATGATTGTTTTATTAATTCTCTATGCATTTTGAAGTCAGACTATCACTACTTACCCAGACAAAAATGCAAAACAGAGAGACACTGGACATATCTTGCCATGAATGTAGACTCCAGCTTGGTACAGTGACAGTGGGCTAAACCCGTTAGTGAATGGGAGTGTGTATACATGAGAATAGTGGCAGTGTGACCCTAGAAAGCAGAGGAAGACCAGCCCAGGTGGTCTGCGAGTAGCCAGGCAGCCCAGCAGGCTGAAGGAGAGCCCTCTGATCAGTCAGTGATGGTGCAAAGAAGGGATTGGTAGAACCTATCACAGACGGTGCCTGGTTAGTCATACCTAGGACGGCGGCGTGGCATGCTTGACCCTTGACTGGGCCTGCGCGGAACAGCCTTCAGGCTAGCATGTTGCACTTCTCCTGGCTGGGGTTATCAGGCAGCTCTCCTCCCTGCCCACCATAGTGTTTCATTCCTTAAAAGGAAACAGGGAAACATGAGAAAATACAGACCTTCCTGCTGCAGGTGTAGGCACATAACTGTGCGCTGACTGGATGGGGAGCCCTCCTGTTGTGCTGCGGAGTGATGTTCCTGCGACTGCACGGTCAAATGAATTGGTTGCTAAATAAGGAATTGTATAGAGTGTAAATTAAACTATTGAGAACAAAGAAATGATCAGAGGAAATTTCAACTTGAGGACTTAATTTGTATTTGTGCAACTCTTGCATGTGGCACTGAAATGTATAAGAGACCATGAAACTGTCCTATACTGGACAGCACGATGAGCAGCAGCTGCACACTGTGTAAGCAAGGTGCACTGCACATAAAGACTTTGAGCCTCAGGAAACAAGATGTACAGAACTGCACAAAAAGAAGACGGCCTGTCCATTTGAGCAGGGAGTTGTAAGTCCAAACAGTCATTAAAAATGCCTGTACTGATGTTTTATAGAACTGGCATTGTTGACAGCCTCTTCATTTTGTTATATTTCACCATAAAATTGATCAAAAAAGGACAGAGAAGAAAAGCATGTAAGCCAGTCTTTGCCCGCATGTGAGTGTGGATCAGGTCTTGCACATTGAATACACATGGACAGCACTTTCTACTCTTTCAAGCCCGACACCCAGTTAAAGATGAAAGACTGTTTAAGCTGTAAAGGTTGCATATTCCTAACGATTTGGAGAGGAAGCAGAGGAGGAGCCCCATCTGATTTCCACCCAGTGCAGAGTAGGAGAAGCCAGTGACAGACCAGGGTAGCCTTCTCAGAGGTCCAGAAGCCAGTGACACCCTGGAATGGCATTCTCAGAGTTCCAGAAGCCAGTGACACCCGGGGGTAGCATTCTCAGAGATCCAGAAGCCGGTGACACCCTGGGGTGGCATTCTCAGAGATCCAGAAGCTCTTCAGGGCCTTTGGGCTGTTTGGTCTCTTCTTGCCCCCCCTAAGAAAGTGGCCGGCCCCGCCTAAGGCCAGTGTCTCCGATGCTCCTGGGTTCCAGCTCCTTTGGGCATTGTGACCTGCCTGCTCACCCAATGGAAGCCCTGGCAAGGCAGATCACTGCAGACACCCCCAAGTGGAAAGTGAGTGATTATTGTCCACATTTTGGCAATACCTCTGCCTGTGCTCTGCGGGCCCTAAAGCTGGGAGGACTTGGTTGACTGTTGCAGCTTCCAGAAGCTGAACAGCAGCTTGTAGTCAGGGCCCAAGCCCCCAAAGCCTGGTCTCCTCCACATCTTCCTGGGCCTCCATTTGGGCATTGAGGCCAGCTGGAGTCCTGCTGCCTGGGCAGTGACCACAGAAATGCTCTGGACTGAGGGGACATGCCCGCTTGCAGTCCCCTTCCCTGTGGGCTGAGACTGTGGAATGGAGCAAGTGCAGTGTTCTGAAGGAACTTGCTGTGGCTGGGGCTACCCTGGGGCTTTCCAGGGCCTAGGGATCAGAAAGCTGTGGGCTGGGTCAGGTCCTGGCCACTCCATGGGCACTCCCAGAAAGGAACCTCATCCATGTACAGTTCTGGGAACAGGAGAGACAGCAGACATTGGCCTTGGATTTGTGCCTGTCAGTCTGGGGCACATCCTGGGGTCCCTGGCTTGAGTGCTTGTTGCTGGTGGAGGAACATGCCCAGGCTAGGCGCAGTTCCTTTCGGAAGGCCGAGTCTGCAGAGTCCCAGGGGGTGGGTGCACGCAGCTGCCTGTTGGCAAGTGCAGATGATGTGCCTGGCCCAGTCCCAGTGCTCCCAGGCTCAAAGCAAAAGCCTGCAGTTTAGACTGGGTATGGTAGCACATGCCTGTAATCCCAGTTCTTGGGAGCCTGAAAACAGGAGAATCTCTGAGTCCGAGCTGTATAGTGAGACCCTGTAGACCCTGTACTTAAAAAACAAAAAACAAAACCGCCCACAGTTCCAGTGCCCACACCACCAACCTTCCGGGAAGGCGTACAGACGTGGCTCTCACCTGATGGTCACAACATGAGACCTGCCTTTCTCCTGCTTGCTTTGCCCTCCTTGGTCCTTATTGTGAGGCCTGAGATTGGCTCAGTGTCACACCCCATCAGTCACTTGTAGCCTTGCTTAACTGTCAGGAAGGCTGGAAGTGCTAGACCTATCCTTGATAAGTAAGCTTGTACCATGAACCAGGACATGCTATTGGCCCCACTTAGGTAAACATTTTCCAAGAGGGCACTCATTTTTACCATGGAAACAGACTCTTTGATCAGCCATTCATCTGGACCACTTTTGTGGCACACAGTGTTCTTGGGGCTCTTACACAACTACACAGTGCACTACAGGCAAGGAAGGGCAGAAGAGGAGGAGTGCCCATCCACATGCCCACAGGCAGCTCCTGCCTTGCCCAGCCACCACCTTGGCTGTGTCTTTCTCTTAGTTGACTTGTATGCATGGTGTCGGCTAGGCCTTGGGCCCATAATGGAGGCCTTTGAGAGTGGGGAAGGGAAGAGGTCTGCGCAAGCCTGTCTCATGGTCTGACCTCCGCTTTAGTGATCCCGTGCTTGAGGACGAGGGGCCTTAGCCCTGTGCTTGGAGCCTGCTGGGTCCAGGCCCAGTGGGGGCATTGGGGACATCAAATGTTCTTCAGCGTCCAGTCTGTGGCTGTTGTCAGGAGGGTGGCAGGAAGAGGGAAGGGTCCTGGGTGCCAGGTGACCAGCTCCGCTGTGCTCTCTCCACAGTGGATGTGGCCACGGCGCTGCCCTTGCAGGTGGCCCCCGCTGCAGTGCCCATGGACCTGCGTCTGGACCACCAGTTCTCCTTGCCTGTGGCCGAGCCAGCACTCCGGGAGCAGCAGCTGCAGCAGGAGCTGCTGGCCCTGAAGCAGAAGCAGCAGATCCAGCGGCAGATCCTCATCGCAGAGTTCCAGCGGCAGCATGAGCAGCTGTCCCGGCAGCACGAGGCCCAGCTGCATGAGCACATAAAGGTGAGGACCTGCCCCACCGGGTCAGTCTTGTCCTCCTTTACGCCTGATCCGAGGACCTGAGCTGCACGCCCCCCCCTCCAGGGCTTGAGTGTGTTTAGAGGGTGCTGGACGGTATGGGCAGCACTTCAGAGTCATCGTGTGGAAGGTTTCTTCTGAGTGTATGGTGGGAGCAGAGCGCTTGCCAACAGGAAGAAGCACTGCGCAGTCCTCTCTGGGGTGTTGCCAGCTCCCTGATGTTCTTCTAGGACCTTCTCACTTTTCTGTTTTTCCCATTGACCTTTCATACCTGGCAAAAGATAATATTTTCTTTTTATTTAGAAAGAGTAAGAAAAATCTGTTAGACAAAACCTTTTTGTTTGTTCTCTGCAGATAGCTAATCTGACTCCATTTTTTAAAAAGTAAGTAAGTTTAAAGGACACATATTAATGACATACAGGAAAGTTACGATGTGAGCTAGTCAGGCCAGTGATATCTGTGGTCCTCGCCTCCCCTCACTGTAAGGACTGTGTAGAGCAACATCATCTAATGTAGACATGTACAGATAAATTAAAACTATGAGGGTAAGTTTAAATTTTCTAGCAGCCACATTGAACAAAACGGGAAGCCCCACCCAAAAGGCTCACAGGTTTTCTATCCCTGTGCCACGAAGCTCCCTGCATCCTTAGTGTGTTTGATAGCCCTGTGTCATCTCGCTCTCTGTGGGCCTGGGGTCTAGGTGCAGCTGGCCTCAGCACCCTGGCTCATCAGGGGCTGCTGGCCACAGCTGCGGTTGGACTCGAAGCTCACTGTGGTGTGGTCTGGAGCCTCAGGTATTCAGCCAAACAGGCTTCCCACTGGGTGAGGCCCCCCAGATGAGCTAGCTGCCCAGAGAGGGGCGCCCCAGTATTTGGAGAGCCACACGTTCTGCTCATGCGTCGTGCTGCCCTCAACAAAGGATTTTTGTTTGCCTGCTGAGCAGTGGCTGCTGGGGTGTCTGTGTCAGATCCTGGCCTGCCCTGGAGGATGGGCCCAGCAGCTCTGAGTCTCTACCCAGGGATGTGTGTGCCTCAGAGGCAGCCCAGGTGGTCTGTCCTAGGCCTGTGTGCTGCTGAGTGCCTCCTGCACCTAGAACAGGATAGTTTTGGGACTAGACTCACTGGTGAGCCAGCCTTGCCTTTGCCCACACCTGCCATTTGGGACTTCTGATGGCACGCCTTGCTTCCCTTCAGGGGTGCTGGCCACAGCAGCAAGTGCAGCTTGGGAGCAAAGCACTTTCTGCCAGCCTCAGGAGGCTGCTGTGTGCCTGCTGGTAGTCACAATCAGCGGGTCATTCCAGAGCATGCCTGTGGCCCACATGGTGGCCCAAGTTAGTGCTGCCTTTCCATAACTGAGGAAAGCAACCTCACCCAGCCACTGTTTTATTTTAACTCCTTGAGCTGTCATTCTGCATTTCTGTGACTCTTAGAAGCAGTATAAAAACAGGTGTTGGCTCCTGATGACAACTCCTTCCTCACCAGTAGCATTGGGTACCATTGCTCTCCTGGTCTTGTGGGAGTGGGAAGGAAGGGCCATGCCTGTGTCATGATCCAGTTTCTCCCTGTCATGTCCCGACGCCAGTGTGCCTGGCTGCTATGCTGGGTCTCTGATGGCCATGTGCCCTAGTTGTCCAGGCTGCTGTAGGATGTGGCAGGGTTTGTGCATACTGTGGCTTCCCTGTAGAACTCCAGCCTTGATGAATTATTCCTGTTGTTTCCCGCCCTTGGGACACTCCTGTCCTTGGTCATTCGTGCAGGGGAACCTGGTAGCCATGTGTGAGTAAGGACAGCCTGGGACTTGGAGGGGTGGCTGCTGGAGCAGAGGACTAGTAGAAGACTAATATTTTTATTTATGTTTTAATATGTTTATTCTCAATCAGTTGAATTGATGTCTTTTATAAAAAGGGAGCTCAGCAGCAGACATACCCTGCACCTGTGAGGGTCATCCAGGCTGGCACTGGGATGCAGGGTCCCCTGGGTGCAGTGCCCATGTCCCTGACCAGGTCAGTGCCAGGGATGGCTCCCCCAGCTCACTCCACACAGGTGCTAGGCCTTCCAGAGGTGCCTGTGGCCCCAGGAACCTGATTCCAGACCCAGTCTCTGGGGCAGGGCCCCAGAAGTAAGAAAAGAAACTTAGCTTTCACTTTGCATTTTAAAAGTTTATTTTTTCATCAAAATGGAGATCACAAAATCCGTGAACTACATAATCATATCATTGCATATTGATTTTATTTTGATGGCTTAGAATCTGGCTATGTCACCTGTCCATTACGTTTGGCAGATATGTTGTCAGACAGACTTCTTGGACACACAATCTAATTAGTGTCATTAAATCATCAGTGAACTTGAATAGAATTTTATAATTGGAATAGAAGTCTTTAAAATAAAACTGAAATTGTTAATTTTGGGTAAGGCCCTTTGTAATGGCACTAATGCTCAGAATCATGCATGTCCTTGACATGTTGTCAAGGGCATGGCTTGTCCCTTCTTCATGGACTCTTCCCCTCCCTTGCCTGATCTCAAGAGAGTATGGTGAGGCAGAGGCAGAGGCACCAGGGTTAGTGCATAGGAAGCTGGCTGTTTCATCCCCAGCCAGGAGGCTGTGTAAAGGGCTGCCTTGAGCTGCTGCTTTGAGAGTTTGCTGTTTTTTTATATTTAAGAAAGCTCTGCTCTGCTCCTGCTCTGCTCTACTGTACTTTTTAATCAAAAAACAGGTGTGCCTGGTGTTTCCAAGTGGAAACTGTGTGAAGTTGGTGATACATAGCACATGTGTATACATCCCTAGGCCTGGCTATGTTGTGAGGCCCGAGGCCACCCTACCCTTAGTGAGGGGTCCCATGGCTGCTCTCTTCTCTCAGGCTGCCCTCAGTGCCTCCCATCCCCAGCTCCTCGCTGTACTACACTTCTCGAGGCCTTGGTATCTGTCTGTTATTCTTCTCTCATTGCTGAGACAAATACCTGACACTCAGAATTAGAGAAGGAAAGGTTTATTTAGCTCACAGTTACTGGAGGCTTCAGTCCATATTCCACTGGCTGCAAAGCAGAGCAGCATGTGGCAGAGAGCAGCCCTTCATGAAGGCAGCAAAGAGTAAGAGAGTAAAATGGAGGAGTAACAGCAACAATGGCAACAGAAAGCAAGTCTGTCTCTGTCTCTCTTATGTTACATTCAGACTATCTGCCTCACGCCAGGTGTAGCACTCACACCTATAATCCCAGCAGTACTCAGACCCATAATCCCAGTCTTGGATCACCCATAATCCCCGTGGATCATGAGTTAATCTCAAACTTTAGAAGTCCCCACCCCATGAATGCATGAGGCTTTGGGGGGACAACTAGACACAAACCGTAACATTCTGTCCCTGGACCCCCAAATTCTCATGCACATCTCTTTGTGCAAAAGGGGTTTTAGTCCATCTCTATAAGAGTTGCCAAAGTTCCAGCAGTTTCAGCATTGCTGAAAAATCCAGGTCCCAAGTCTCTTCCAAGATCTAAGACAAACTCTTAGCTATGAGCCCCAGTACAAAAGAAAAGTTAAGCTTCCAACATTCAAAGGCACAAGATAAATATTACCATTCCAAAAGTTGCAAACAACAGGGGAATACAAAAAAATGGTACCAACACAAGTCCAAAATCCAGCAGGGCAAACATTAAATCCCATAGTTCCAAATGGAACATCCGAAGTAATCTGCTCTGAGTTGTGAGCTCCAAAGGCCTTACTTGGCGCTGCCCCTAAGGCACTCTTGATGGTGGCTTCCATGGCTTCTCTCTTAGGTCAGCTTTGCTCTCTCCTTGCAGTTTCCCTTAGATGACCCACATTCCTGGCTTTTCCAAATTTCTGGATTTTCCACTAAATAGGCTTCTCATTCTCTGCTTCACACACTGCCCTCCCAGGGGCACACCGCCTGGCCTCCCAGGCCTTCTTCTGAAATCAAGGTGGAAGTTGTCTTAACCTCACAATTCCTGCATTCTGCATGTGCCTAAAACCAACACCACATGGATGATACCAAGGTCAGCTGCCAGCTAGAGCAGTAGCCAGGCTTCCTCCTCTCTTGGCTGTAGGGGTCAAGTGCCTGGATTGCTGAACACTCTGACCCTGATTCAGAGGAATAAATTCTCCACTGCCAGCGCCATTCTGGAACCTGTTGTGTCCGCTGCCACCATTCTGGAACATGTGGCTCTGTGGCTTTTTTCTCAAAGCAAAATTTCTGACCTTTGTAGTTCTGAGGCTGCGAAGGGTGGAGACCTGCTGCCTCCTATAATGCCCTCAGGCCATCCTTTCCATTCTCTGGTTCCTTCCCAGCAATGGAGATCCTCTTAGCTCTGTCTTTGCAGTCCACAGCTTTATTGGAGCTTCCTTTCTGGCCAGACTCACAACATTTTAAACCATCCTGCTGGGCTCTTTGCTCTCGAGTCTCAACATAAATCTGGCTAAAAGCCCCCAACAACAACCATGCCACTGCCTCAATATTCTGCTGCTTTGAAATATCTTTTGCCAGATTAATTAGTCTACTATCCTTAATCTCAGTCTCAGGCTAAGTCTCTGGACATGAGCAAAATTCAGACAAACTTTGGGCTAAGCCATAACATAAATCATCCACAGTCCAACAACCACTGCAATCCTTCCTCCTAGCAGAAACCTCCCCAGCCTGGTCTTCACCAGCAAGCTTTCTGTCAGCCTTCTGGTCTTCTGAGCTCTGACCCAAATCTCCCAAGCAGAAAGCTGAAGCTGTTCTAGCTCTTTGCAAGTAGACAACATCTCTGAACCTTTCCTATCTCTTCCCATAGCCATTCCCAAAAGCTTGTAAATCCCATGGTCAGGTTTAATTACATAACGGCCCCACTCCTGGTACCAATTTTGGTATGGTTTGAGTTTTTTGCAAGGTGAACAACATAGTACAGGACATGTTTTATAGTAGTATTTTATAATGAATCACCTAAGACTAGCATACTAGGAATGCAGGAGATCTGTCCACACCCTAAATACTG